GTTATTAATGGTGCTATTGGGACAACATATTAATTGCAAGAGAGTTTTTCTAGTACAGTGCGCCATAGCCAGTGGGGATCCATGACTCAAGGCTCGAGGGGTACTAGTGCAAAAATTGTACAACTTTTCGTTGAGTCATATGGACCTGGCTTCTCTGCCCTCCTACTTCTCATACACTTTCATCCTTTTTTATTTGTGCGGTCACGGTTAAGCTACGTTAACATTTTATATTACTATTGTTTTTGTCTTATTATCTTTATAAAAAAAATCAATATAAAATGTTGATGTGATTTAAGCGTGATCGTACAAAATAAGAGAGAATGGGAGTGTATGGAAAGTGGAAGAGAGAAGCCGGGTCCGAGTCATATAGTCGATCGCGAGGGTGGGCTTGTTTGTTAATTGCCATGATCTGTTGACAACTTTCAAAGTCTATCTCAAGGTGTGTCGAGCATCACTTGTCAAGATCTACTAAATTATGCCCGAAAGATATTCTATCAAACAATCTGTGAGTATTCAAGTCCCATACCAGATGGGCATAAGGTCATCTGAGGATCTTTCTCCCCATATTTCCAAACTTCTGTAGGATCTAGGGACCCTTGGATCCGGTACCCACAATTAAGTGTCGAACTCATGACAGCTAGATATCATCCTCAACATTATGTAAGCTAAACCTGATATCTCATTCAACTAACTAAAAGACTGTCGACAACTTTCAAAGCCTATCTCAAAGCCCGTCGATCACTTGTCAAGGTCACTTGAATTATGCCTAAAAGATATTTTTTCGAACAACTTGTGAGTATTTTCAAGTCTCATACGACATGACCATAAGGTCCTCAGATCCTTCCTCCCCATAATTCCAAATTTCTGTAGAATCTCGCAACCTTAGGATCTGCCGTTGTCTATAATAATGGGACCTACAATTAGGTGTCTAACTAATAAAAACTATATATCATCCTCTGTTAGAATATGAGTATGAAACATGACTTAGAATTGGCCGTAATATTGGATGAATCCTTGAATGGAAAAGTCTTGTTAATATGCTCAAAGGAATTCTATTCCTTATAGATTTATTGGTGCTTATAGTAGTCCTTGGTTGTGGGACTTGGTTTTGCGCAACCTTCTACACTCATAGTATGATAAGGTATACTTTGTTGACTTCTGAACTAATTCTACTAGGAGAATAAGTTGGAATAATTCTATATATAACCTCAATCACTAATCTTGCAAATATCGCTGTTTGTTTTGAATTTATCTGAATACCTATTATTTGGCGAGCACTTTTAGCTTTGCAAAAGAGGAGAAGGTTGTTTGGTTGAGAAGATGCTATGGCTTCTTCGAGTTTCAATTCTGCAGGTAAGCTTCTCCGCAACTCTTTGATTTCAGTTTATAGCCTTATTACTTAATATTGTTCTTGAAGTTTTGGTTATTCAATTGGTAAATCATTGATCTGTGGATATAGTTCTTACATCCTCATCATTATTGTAAGTTGAACTTGAGATCTCATTCATCTAAGTGAAGATTGAAAATAAAATACTAGTAAAAGACTAGTTTGTATTAAATGAATATAAGTGTTTGTACCACACCTGACCAATCCTAAAACTACTAAGCACCGGTCAACGTCATACCTTTAAGGACCCACTGAGGGGTTCATGTTGAGGCACCCATGCCGAAGCACAAGTGTTTCCCTCCAACCAGGAGGCCAATCACAGCATGATACATGTCAACGTTAGAATAAAGCTCATAGAGTCCTACAATTAGGAAAAGGATCCGGCAAGGATCCTTTTCCTAGGGATCCCGTGATCGTGACCATTCATCGTACATCGTGCGGTTAGAAATCATTTCAAAATTTAAAATTTAAAATTAAATATAAATAGTACCTAACGAAAACTGACCTGATGTATGATGAACGGTCACGATCACGGGATCCCTAGGATTCCCAGGAAAAGGATTCGGCGAAGATCATTTTCCATACAATTAATCCCTAATGTCATTATTGTACTTAACTAGTCATTAGAACCCACTAATGATAATTATGCTTAAACTTATGTATTTGTGCAAACCCTTCACTATTATTGAGAACTCTTGTAATTATTAATGAGTACTCCTCTACTTCGTGGACGTAGCGAGACTTAGGATGAACTATGTACATCTTGTGTTGGCTTCCCTATCTCTATCTCTTTACATATTAATCATCACTAGGTGACCAAAACAACCGAGCGAAGGTCACAAACTTGACACTTTACGTTGTTCCAAAGTCTCACAGATTTTGTGTATCAACAAAAGGTAACATGTATGTATTTCGAAAACACATAAAAATTAACTTCTTCATGCTCTTCATAATTAATCTCATTCATTTAACCTTTGAATCACGGGGGCTTTTCTTTCTTTCTTTCTTATACACAAACTTGAAGCCCTTTCTGTCTTTCAGTTAAAAGGTATGTTCTCAGATGCTGCGAAGAGAAGAAAGCACGCCCGGTGGGAGTCAGATGCCTTATACATTAGGCCACGGGCGCCAGATGATCGTATTTACCAAGTTAAAAGTTTTAAGCACGAAGCTAAAAGTAGTAATAAATTGAAGGAAAAATTTAAGTTCTTCTTTCTATCAGCTCAAGAAAACAGACGCAAATGCTAGTGCACAGAAAGGAAAAACCATAAGTTTTATGAGCTGTTTTAATTTCAGACTGCACACTATTTCATAGGTTCGGAATTATTTCACAGAGTCGGAAGAACTGAAAGTTTTTATAAAGATATATCGCACTGACTGCACAACTCATTCATCTGAACTCGAGATATCGATGTTTGTTGAATGGAATGAAATTTCTTGGAGAATACGACTCTATGTCTGAGGTTTCAGGCTCAAGCTACAGTTTGGTCTTGGCGGGATGTCTCTTTCAAGTTTGAACCGTTTTATGAGCTATATAGAGTGAAAGCATTGAGCAGCAACCAAACCGAAGTCGCTGTGAGAATAAAAAACAACTTATTCGATTGGATATATAATAATATGTAACATCGTTAACAACCGGATCCGTGGCGCAATGGTAGCGCGTCTGACTCCAGATCAGAAGGTTGCGTGTTCGATTCACGTCGGGTTCAATACCCTCTCCGGTTTTTTAATTTTTTGCTTTCCGCCAAACTTATTCTGATAAGAAAATTTCAGTATATTCTAAACATATATATATATATATATATATATATATATATATATTTATATATTTATATATATATATATTTATTTATATATTTATATTCTTATTGTGTGCAACTTTTAATCAATTGTTTACATTGTTATTGGTTGTGTTCATTGACAGTTTTGACAATGTTTTATTTATTATTTATTATATTTAATCATGCAATTATATACTAAAAATAAGTAGTACAATAATATTAGTTAACATTTTTTTGTTGTTCTTATTTTCTCTTCGTTTGATTTGTTAACATGATATTAGAGCAGGTTCCATCTCTCTGACTTCAATCCCCTCTTGTTTGGTATATCAATTTTTATCATTTCTATTGTCTTTTCTTTTTTAACTTCACCTTCAGTTTGTTTTCTCTAGTTCAGATCTTGGGAGTTTGTCAATTTTCATCGTGGGTTTGTTTTGGTTTTTATTTCGATTTAGCTTCTCTTCTTGTTTTTTTGGGTATCCGCTTTTGTTCGCACCTTGTTCTTGTTTTCATGTGTCCAATCTCGGAAAAATGTGGTCCTTGAGCATATAATGCGGTATTGACAATTTATAATCTTCTCCTTTATTTTATAATCAATGGAATAAGAATCAAAGTTTGTAATAACATTTTTCTTCTTTTATTACCCTTTGGTTGTAGGTGGACTAGGGTTAGCTTTTAAATGTTATGTCCTTTATTGTCTTTTGAAACTGTGATAAAATTTAAACAAACAATAATTTAAGAATGTGCGTAAACTCAGATGAGTGCGGTGTTTAACCAGAAAAATTCTAACAAAATTTGATGAGGACGGGGTATTATATATTCAATCAGAAATATCTTTTCGTGACCCAACTGTCATTACATAAAAAAAAGGGCAAATCCAGAGGTGGGTAGCAGTCCAGCAGAAGTTCTAATAAGCATGCAGGAGGTAGAGAAAAACTGCTTTGCTTAATTATTTTAGAAAACTTCATTTTAATCCTTGGCAAAAATGATTTTTTGATTAAAACCATGAGTAAGATCAAAATCTAATTTTAATCCCTTAATACATTAATAGCCTCATTTATTAATTATATTTTGATTTTTAATTATTTATCTTTTTCTTTCTAATTTTTAATGTATTAATTTTATTTCATTATAATTTTTATTTTCATTTCATTCATCGTAATATATTTTGTTGTGAACATTTAGATAAACTAATTTTTGTTATACAATATATTTCGATGTACTTTATCTTCTTCATTTAGGTATATTAAATTCATTATAATACATTTCGGTGCATACATTTAGGTACACACATTTCGGTACCTACATTTCGATACAAACATTTAGGTACATTAATTCAATATAATACATTTTCGGTACTAACATTTCGGTGCATACATTTCGGTACACACATTTAGGTACATTAATTTAATATTAAAACATTTCGTTGCATATATTTATGTACATACATTTTGGTACTAACATTTAGGTACATTAATTGAGTCTTTTAAATTTGAAGAATGTTAAATAAAATTAATAAATTAAAAAACTCTTTTTTGGTCAAAAAATAAATTAAAATTTTTGTATTAATAAATTTAAATATTTAATGGGAGACATTAAATAAAATGCACATTAATTATTTTGAATTAAGAACACATTAGGGACTAAAATCAATATTTAATCTAACACCAGGTTTTTTTAAAATTTTAATCTTCTTGAAGGATTAAAGTTCAAAAACCCCTTAATTATTTCTTCTCTCAACGATATATATCACACGTTCTGTCAAACTCTATCTCAAGATTTAACTTTTCTTGACGTACAATCTATGGGGAATTTATAAATAAATAGAAGATATGTTCTTAATTAGGGTAGTGATCTTCTCGCTTTCTCTTGTTAATCCCGGTGATCATTGTTTGATCTCTCATCTTAAAGAGAGAGAAATCAACATGAAAATCATAAAAATTAATACGATTCTTCAACAGCACGGTCGTGGGACTTGAAGGGCAGTAATGAAAATCCCGGTGAGCTCTTAAGTTGTCCAAACAATCAACTGATGAATATTGCTCCTCCATCATCATATGGCACTTCACCAACTCACACTATAATATACAGGTAGTGGACAAACCAGTCAATAAAATGTTAGATATTAATTAGCAAAAGAAAAGGGCAAATTAAAAAGGGAGTTTGATACTGAAGATTGAAATTAATTAATTGACCTTTTGGTCATGATCCAATAGACTTGTAAGACACGTGAGGTAGGCGTTATCAGATATGGCTTCTGAAAGTTGTATCTTATCCAGACTGCACCTTAGAGCAGATATTGCAACCACACTTGGCCTAAAATCCAGAAGCTTGGAATCTGGAATTTTCATAATAATTTTTGTTTCATTAATTATGAGTACTATCAGCAAATAATAATACAAGTGTTTTATTATAATCGATATTAGTACTGTAAGCTTGATTAAAGAGAGTGGGGGGAGTTTGAACCCAAAACGCAGTGAGTTAAAAAGAAGAACTCTATTCAATAGGAGTATATGCTACAACTGTACAAGTTACAACATACATCGAATAATTACGAATAAAAAATGTGCATGCATATACATATATACCTGAAATAGCTCCAAGAAGCAATTTGTTAAGTCGGCCTATGAGCTTTTCATGAAGTTGGGGCTTCAAAGAGTCCAGAATCCATTCCAACAGTCTAGGTAAGAGTAAGCTGTTGTAGACGCAAGGCGCCATCCTAATGCATTTAGCACCATCATTTCCATTCGTTGGATTGTGCTTGGCTCAAATGAATGGTCCAGATCTTCCATCTGCGATCAATATGAATTAGCACAGTAGTTAAACCAATGCAGAAACATATGATGGTTACATTCTTCATTAATAACAGCAGCTCATACACTTAATTAATGAATAGTTATCACCTGAAGTTCAAGCAGGGAAGGATTGCAGGTATCACTGAACTTGTTGGCAATAGATAAGCAGGCAACAGACACCAATTCAACCATCCAATATTTCCATCCCTGAAAATACATACACCTTTATACATATTAGTTTCATATATCCTTTCAATGTTGTCGAAACAAATAACTAGGAAATTGGAAAATTAGAAAATTTAAAAAAGAATATGAAAGGTAACCATAGAATTGAATTAAATAAATTCATTCAGTGATATACATACATACACACACATATATATATATATATATATATGTGGCCTTTCCCAAATTAGACCAATTGAATTCTGTCTCTCTCGCTCTATACATATATCACAGAATGATTTTAAATTATTACTATATAACATATAGTCCTTACAGTGCAATGGTTCATGGATATGAACCGATCAAGGTAATTTGCAGCATAGAAAACGGTTCCAAGGGAGAGGTTCAACCGACCTGCAGACTGAAAACACAAACAAAGAATTAAAATGTTATATTGTATTACCGTAGTAATCATCTTCTAATTAATACAAGGTATATGGTGGTTCTTACTCAACTAATTAAAAAGCGTAGTTTGATAAATATTAACATACACACACACACGCACATATGTTATTGAACTGACCTTGATGAACCACTGAATGCATTTTAACCTAGCAATGACCAAATTATTGGAAGATAGGTTCTCTAGATAATTAGGTTCAGGCATGTAGCTGATCTCCTTCTCCATGCATATGGTAAGAGCCTGCTCATAGTCTTCCTTAGTTGTATACATTGAGGATCCAAAGTTACTGTGACCGAAAGGCTCAGTAGTCACTGCAGGGGGGCTTGAAGGGCATACCTCATCACAAAGCAAACTTTCCATGCAAACCATGTTTTGAATAATATAAAAGATGCTATGGCCAGTCTAAAAAAAGTACATATGTTTCTTCTTCCCCAATAATAGGGTACTCGAGTTAGAGATGAACAGTTTGAGAAAACGAAAGGAAAATATGGAAGATGGTGAAATGATCAGGAAAGTTGAGGGGAAGTTATATAACAGTTGGTGGGTGGTTACAAACTTACAACTTACGGATAGAGAAATAAACAGAGGGACACGTCCCTCATGAAATGGGGTAAATGCAGTGTTTTTCTGGTAGTAGGCTAGTAGTAGTGGGTTAAGATTTTTATTTTAATTATTTATTGTGTTGTATTTTGTGTATTATTTAAATTACGGTTTTTTATATTTTGACCTGGGTTACCAATTGCGTGAGTCCATGCACGAGGATGTTTCTGTGGGCAACTTAGTGGAATAAATGTTCTCTCTCCCTCTCTCTCTCATCTTATCGTCGTCCCCCTTCAATGCAGGAAACGAGGGCAAATGCTAAGGTTTGTGAATGTGTTGGTGCTGTGGTGGTTTGGTTTGGTTGGCACTGAACTTGAGAATAATATTAGGGGCTCAAATGTGGGCCCCATTTTCAATGTTGATTTTACAAGTTGTGTGTATTTGGGGTGGGCCCCACTTCGTGATCGTCTTCAACGCTTGATCATGAGGGACTTGGTGGTGAATGGCCAATTCTCAGCTCATCTCATCTCATCAGTTCTCTATTGGGACAATCTGCTACTGCAAGATAGATGATCTGTAATTGAATTGAATTGAATTGAATCTCTCCACAGTCTCCACCAACAAAAGCTGCTAATTGATTGGGGACCACAAGGTCCACAACACATATTCTCTACCAGCAGCATTGAGGCTTGTAAACCAGCCGAACCTGGCTTGTTTAATTTTTTATAAAGCTCAAAATAGGTTTGGCTTACTTCTTATACGAACTCTCGAGTGAGCTTAAAAACTTCAACTCGATACCAAGCTTAAACTGTATCCAGTTATTTATTGCAATAAGTTGGTTTGCTCTAATAACAAAAATTCACAACTTAACAACACATTTTAATAAATAAAAAATATAGAACATAAACAACACAACAACAAAAATTCAAAAGTAATACTTTAAGAGATAGACGCCTCATACTTGTTAATGCTTGTTGTTTGTTTAGAAACAGAAGAGGATGGGAACATAAACAACACAACAACAAAAATTCGAAAGTAATACTTTTAAGAGATAGACGTCTCATACTTATTAATGCTTGTTATTTGTTTAGAAACAAAAGAAGATTGGAACATAATATCAAATTCATCTTAAAAGTAACCATATTATCCGAAAGAAAAATCTCAAACATAATATTTCATTCCAAACAAACTACTTGAATAGAGCCTAATTCAAGTTATCTCGTGAAAACTATTCATTGCTCCTGTTCTTGACAAGTCAAACATACTAATATTCAAACTTAACTTGTTTCTTAACGAGTCGAACCTAATGTAAGTTTGAACTGTTTCAAGCCAATTCACAACCCTAAGAAGCCGTAGCTAAGCTGAGCTTTTTTTTCATTCCACTTAGGCCTGTAAACTATCAATTTCATTTTAAGCCCCCTCCCCCCAAAAATTATTCATGCCAATGCACCCGAACAATACTCGGTTCTTTATATATAAGTGGTCATTTTTCCTTCAATGACAACGTGACATCATTTAACCATACAAACTTCATAATTATACTAGTCACTCTCTTTATCATCAACTGAAGACCATCACTAGAAAAATTCATTCACTTTAAGACTGTTTAATCATCCTTATGTGTCGAACTAATCCACAATTACAATGACATTAACATCCTCACAATAAACCTTCAATCTTTTTTTATTCCCATGACATTAACATCCTCACAATAAACCTTCAATTTTTTTATATTCCCATGGATGACTAAACGCTCTCTAAATCGAATGAATGTTTCTAGAAATAACCTTTAAGCAATAATAAAGAGAATGAAGATTTTCGATTTGTATGGTAAAATGATGTCATGCTGTCGTCATTAAAAAAGAAATGATTCCTTACATGTAAGTAGCGAGAAGTGCCCAATCCTCTCCCATTCCCATAAGTTCACTTATTCTGTCAACTCAATTCATTTGTCACTTATTTCGTGGAGGCCTTTGATTTAAGGGAACTTTAACGAAAAGCTCCCGGTACTGTTTATTTTAACGAAAAACCACATTTTAACACTAAAAAGTCAATCATGGTACTATTCACTTTACCCTTTATTTTGTCCTTATCGTTAAAATTCAAAATTTTGAAGCCTTTTTCATTAGTTTTCATTTGATTTAATGCAAAAAATTTTAAGTTTCAATTGTCCAATGTTCTCCCCTTCCTGTTAGTTTTGTCACTTATTCTGTCGTATTAAATGTATTTTCGTCCATTTTGTATCGTAGAAGCATTTGATTTAATGCATAAGCACTAAGTTTCATTTCTTTCACTCTCTTTTTTTTTCCTTTCTCATAGCTCAATTAAGAATTCCAAAATATTTACTATTTTTTCTTGTGAATGTTGCATTTTGATGACATATATGCTCCTAAAAGTTGGTTATATATTGCATGTTATGAAATTAACGGAAAATTGTGACACTATCGACTGTCTCCGAGATACCGGTAGGAATGAAAAGTTAGGGGGCTCAACCAAATTAAAAAAATTCATAGGGCAAAGTGGAACAAGGTACAAAGTTCAGGGCGTTGCTAAGCTTCCCTTAAATCATAATACCAAGAATCATAAAGAAGTAAACTTGACTGGACCTATTTTTGCTTGTATTCACAATCATAAATTCAGATTTGAGCTGAAGGTTTGGCCACATATGCAAGATCTCATATCACCCCAAAGTAACTCGCAATCGGCAATTACAATACACAAGAACACCAAACAGCTCCGCAACATACTTTAACAAACAGACAAATGTACATCTTCACAACTTGTACGTTATCCTTGCATTACAAATGGAGACGCGTGTTCTTGAAAATTGACCAAAAGTTGTACAATTCCTAGCAGGCATATCCCTAGACATATATTTTCTCATCTATCGCAGTTCATATGATGAAAAGCTGAAACCTGATCGTTCCTCGTTAGTGGATTTCAGCTCAAGCTTCTGAAAAGGGCTGCACGTTGGTTCAAGTAATACTTATCAGTCACTTTGCTGCAATGTGATTAAAATGCTAAACCAGAAAGACTGCGCATAATAATGAAAGTGGCAATATACTTTGTAAGCATACGCACATCCCATGAAAAAAATGAGGGAAATACTCTGGCCAGTATACCTGCTGTTAGGATCATAATAGAAGCCATTGATGGAGCCATCGCTACAAGAAAAACACACATAGTAAAAGCCAGCTATAGTCAGCCCACAGTCTGTGCCAACATTCACAAAGTATTGCTCTTTCCATCTCTGCACCACCACAATGTCAAAGAATTCATCAACGTTTCATCTGATGGTTAAGTAGTAATTATATGGGGAATAATAAAGCAATTAGATCAGTTACCATGAATATGTATGGATAATTACTCAGATCTAATGATTTGCCACCATCAACTTCCACTTGGCTCTGTAAACAATAGAATTAATCAGACGATAAAAGAAGTTTTCCATATGATTGAGAAGATATAGACTCCATACCAGAAGAGAGGAAAAAGAAGGAAACTTGGTCCAGTGCCTTATATCATCCTCTGGCCTGTAAAGGGTTCACAAATAAGCACTAGATCGTTATTCCACAACCATTGCTAATTAGGGTCTACGATGGACTACAGGTTAAAAGAACAAAAGAAACATACGTTGCTTCCCATTTTCCAGTGAAGAAAGTATAATTCTTGGTGTCAACGATCTCTCCTTCCCAAAAGGTAACTACCTAACATACATTTAGGAAAACAAAATAGATACCCAATGAAGGTTATGAAAATATCAGAATACGGGAGTGTGGGGGATTACGGTAACTAGATTTCCATATCCACAAAAAAGTAGATACGGTGTCAAATCTAATGTACACGTCTTGCATGAAAGTGGCAGGCTAGAATCAGCCAAATTAATAGATTCTATGAGACACACGATAAGCAGTGAATATCGTACTGATATCTTATGAAAGGAAGATTGAAAATCAGGCAAATCAAGTTTCTCGCTGCCACCTAATGAACCCAAAGAATGCTTGATTTAAGATTTAACTATGAGGTTTGCCATCTAGATATAACCATATTACAAGACGTGGACTCTAGACAACCACAGCACTGACAGCAGTATGAAAATCAAAGGGACCTACAATGCTATAAGGGAATGAAACTCCTTAACTAAAGAACAGTCCGATAAAAACTCAGAAGTTCGTTCACTCTTTTGTTGTTCTTAAATCATTTCGCGGAAATACTTAATATCAATACCAATACACAAACAAACATTTCACGGTGACAGGTAATCAACAGGCAGAAAGAAACTTCTTACCGGTGTGTCTGCCATAGGAACGTTAAGAGCTTCCATGGTTCCACATAGATAACCATACTCAAGGTCACACCCCTGTATCCGAACATTCACTCTCCACGCTTCATCTTTCTGCGGACTAGAAACGTTCTGCGTACCGGAGAAGGCCTGCCACAGAACCATGAACTTACTTCTACAATGTGGCACACATTTATGCTTCCGAATTTCGGTGCTTGTGCTCAAAGCCAATATTGATCAGGCGATACTCCGCAATTCTAACCATTTTCAAGAAAAAGGAAAGAAATTTAAGAATTACAAAGGCACAGGGACAAAGAGAAACCTGTCCAACGCTTAAAAGTGTGCAAGCTGGAGGAGCTGTCTGTCCACAATTTGAACCTGCACAGAGATACATCCACAAACATATACATAAATATACATAAATATACATATGTGTGTGAAAAATTGGAAGAAGAATTACAGAAAAGTAGTGTCTTTGAGAATTCAATCCTACAAAATGTACCAAATAGTGCAGATTTCGGCAAGAAACCTAACTTTAGGAAATGGGCAAACCGCTGTTTGCGGTGGCCGTCGGTTTCGAGAGAGAAGAGGGGGGAGAGGAGTACCTGAAAGTTGAGAAGGCGCGGACGTCTCCGCCACTCTCACCGGCATTTCTTTGATTAATTCAATCGGAACGGAGTAAGGCGACTCAGATGCTACCTCCAATCCAATACGCCATCCAGAGTTAGGGATGGGCAAAATACCCGCGGTCATGGATAACCGTCGTTACCGCCTATTTAAATTTCACGGTTACGGTTATGGGTAACTGTTTAGATAATTAAACGGTTATGGGTATAACCGTTTACCCGTGAAATTTAAATGGGTGGTTATGGGTATTAACCGTGGTTATAAATGGGTAATCATTTACCCATTTATTTTATATATGTAATGTTGAATATTTAAAATAAATAAATAAATAAATATATATATATATATAGATATATATAGACACACACATACGGGGCTGTTTGACAGGGGATGAGAATATATATATATATATATATATATACACACACAAACACATACGGGGCTGTTTGACAGGGATGGAAAGTTGGGTTATTAACCCAACAATCATCTCTCTTCAATTTGAATACTGCAACTTTCTACTTTTTTTTTTTTTTTTTTTTTTTTTTTTGAAAACTAGAACAACAGAACCTGGGAAGAAGCCAACCAAACAGAAAGCCAACACAAGGCAAACAACAAGCAGAAGCTAGAAAATCCTTGGAGGGATTAATATTATGACAATTTTTTTTTTTAAATTTTTAAGTTGTTAAAAAGCATGTAGACGGATGAAAAATGGGTTATGGTAAAAAAAAAAAAGGATAAATGGGTTAAAAAGGGTAAATGGGTAAACGGATATTAAACGGTTACGGTTAAATGGGTATGCGGTTATGGGTATGGTTAACCGTTTATAAATGGTTATGGGTATGGATATAACCGTTTAGGCAATTACCCAACGGGTAAACGGTTATGCGGGTATGAGCATAAACGATTATGGGTAAATTAACTGCGGTTACCCGCCCGCATAACCATTGCCCATCCCTATCCAGAGTCCACGCCTGTCTAATGAACCCGACCCGTAACCGCCAACTATTTTAGTTTCTCTCCTTTTCTTGCTTCATTATTTTTCATCGAATATTGTGAATAGTGAGGTTGAAATCAATTTATTCTTCAACTTGGCGTAAACGTATTCTTGTATTTAAAAAAAAATGCCATGTCCAAATCAGGGTTATAGGCCACTTTCAATTCGAAATGGGCAAAATTCGTTTCTAACAAGAGAACAATATCATAGTCTACAGACAGGGTTGACTACACATAATTTTAAACGGACACATTCTAACATAACATCTTGTGGAACTTCCGTAGTCTCTCTCTCGCTCTCTCTCAATATAGTAAACTATAGTTATGCACGTGTACTCCATTATCACTTTTGCTACAAACATACTTTTATTGTTATTTTTGTAAAGAACATACTTTGATTTTGGTTCTTAAGGTTTCCGAATTTTAGTTTTATAGAAACTTAGTGTATAATTAATACACGTTTACTTACAATGCATGAATTTTCAAGAAATGCTTATCGTTCTTATTTGTGCTTACCGAGTTGGGATCAAAGGCATGCATGCCATTTGGGTGAAATTTGGGAGCCTCAAAGTATCATTGGATGTCACTCCTGCAATACCATCTAGGCATCTAGGCTAGGGAGAGATTTTTCATTGTGACCGTCACATGAGATGGTACATTACTTTTGTTGTTGTATAAATGGTGGGATATGTGTGTTAAAAGTTAATAACTTAAAAAATAAAATTTCTTACTACTTACATGAAAACACGTGATGTACTATCCGTATTCTCGTCACAACTAAAAATTTCTCATGAGAAAAAAAACGATGCGAGTCATCTTTCGCATATGCTAGGCTTACTAGTATGAGTACCACAAGCTAATACAAACATCCGATAAAAAGCGGAGATAGAGTTGGAACAATATGCAGTATGCACACAGAAGTTGCTAGAGATTCCGGTTTCGTTAAGTCCTTCACCTCACCTTCTTCTCTAGTCTAGCATCGAGATATTCGAGCAATGGACTAATCATCGTTTACGTACCACACAGATTGAAATTTGAAACACATCGGAGCACGTTAGAACAAATAGAGATAATCACATGTTTGACGAAGACACAGAGAACCTGTTACATTGACAAGCTAAAATAAGCACTTAGATACAAAACAACAGATTGTTCTGATTCCCGATTGTGGATTTTATGTTGTACTTTATAAAAATATTTACTAGAGAATGCTATGTGCTTGGTGTCAACGACCACCTGAGAGGCTGAGAGGAGTGATGACTCTGCAGCATATGAATGGGAAAACCCCGCGCCCATTGCAATTTCGTCAAAGCCTTCTTTGTGAGGAAACGCTAAGCCCAAGAGACATACTAAATTTTGATGACGAACACGAGTGAACAAGAACAATGACTGTATGACTATATTGCTCTGTGCAATGCACAAAATCCGTATTGCTCCGTGCAGACTGCAGATAGAATAGCAAAGAACAAAAGAACAAACTTGTGTATGATAGTATGATTGGCCTTGAATGGATTGAAATTTACAAAAATCGTAAGTATTAGGAGTGCCACTCATTTTTATATGCTATGAATACCAGATACACAGAAGATCTTGTTGCTTTTGGATTCATCGACCACTGTAGAGGAATGACGAATCTGCAGCATATGATGATGGTGAAGACCCCCAGGCCATTGTAGACTCATCAAAACCTTCATTCTGAGAAATGGCTAGGCCACTTGCAGAGGCACTGAGAAGTGACAACTCTGCAGGCAAAGGAATATCACCCTCCAAATGCTGCACAACTTGGCGCATCCTTGGCCTTGCTGTAGGCTCTGATTGGCAGCACAACAGCCCAAGCTTCAACACCAACTCCACCTCCTCCGCTACAAAATCATTACCTAACTTTGGGTCTTTCGCCTCAAGAATATTACTTCCTTTCCAACAAGAAAAGACCCAATCAACCAAAATCACATCCTCAGAGCCATGATACTCTATTGGCCTTCTTCCACTTGCAACTTCAAGCAAAAATACACCGAAAGCAAACACATCACTGCTTGTTGTGGCCCGACCTGATCTTGCATGCTCAGGAGCTAGATACCCAAATGTTCCAGCTATATGAGTAGTTTGAGGGTCTGAGCCGTGGTCATATAATCTTGCAAGCCCAAAATCTCCTAGTCTTCCATTCCATTCCCCATCTAGTAATACATTGCTGGCCTTGACATCTCTGTGAACCACAACCTGATCCCATTCTTCATGCAAATAAAGCAACCCTGATGCTACACCTCTTATGACTCTAACTCTTTGCCTCCAATCGAGAGTAACCGCCGGTTGGCCAAAGAGGTACTTGTCCAGGCTTCCATTAGGCATGTACTCATAAACCAACAATAGCTCTCCTTTTCTCCTGCAGTAGCCCAATAATGGGACTAAATTTCGGTGACGAAGACGTCCATTGCTGACAATTTCTGCCACAAACTCCTTCATCCCCTGTCTTGATTCGTGTGAGACCCTCTTCACAGCAATCTCAATCCCAGAGGTGGGCAATATACCTTTATAAACCTTACCGAATCCACCCTTTCCCAAAAGTTCCTCTTCTCGAAACCCTTTTGTGGCAATATATAACTCTTTGTATTTAAACCTTTGAGGCCCATATTCAAGCTCCCAATCCTCAAGCAGTTCTGCAAACTTCTTCTTTCTTCTTAAGGCATGGTTGACACAAAAAAGAAATGCTAGCAAAGCGACACTCACCAAGATCACAGGAAGACCAATGGTCAAAAGTTTAGATATTTTTTTAGGTCCTAGCCGAGGCATCTTGGGAAGTTGTGAGAGAACAAGTTCTTCAGCCTGACCATTCATCTTAAAGCTCCACCCCAACAAGTAAGCAGAAGCAGTAAGCTGGCCAGTGGACGAGGAGAAGCCCACGTACATGGTTCTGTGAAGAACTGGGGAAAGGTCGCGTGTCAAAGACAAAAGTGGAATATAGGGCTTACCATTACTAACTAGAGCCAAAGAGACATTGATTTGCTTCTTGCTACCATCATAGTCCACCCAAACTTGTACCGGTTGGCCACTGGTGATCAATCTTTCTCCGACATAATATCCGGCAGGAGAAGCCACCTCAGAGGCCAAACCATTAATATCAATCCCGACATGGTTATCATTGATGTCCTTGAACTCATCGTTCCGAAAAGTGTCAAGCTCAACAGCAAAAATATGATTTGTTGGATTGCCATCGTTTGTAAAGTTGAAAAGGCCTAGGTGTTGGGCTGGAGCAGCGTGGGGCAGCCCTCTTGTTGGAGCGATGACAAAGGCTATTCCGTGGCCATAGAGACCTGTATATCTCATAGCAAAGATGAAAGTGGTAGAGAAGGAGAGAACTGTACCGTTAGATGAGTTCTTGAAAATTACTGGGTTGGGATAGAAGGCATGACCAATCTTGAATCTAGTGTAATTTGTAAGCCTCAGAAGACCATTGGGTGTCACTCTTGCTATGCCGTCTAGGCTAAGATTTGCAGACCCGAAACCATGGTAGGCGAAATTGAGATCTTCAGCAGCTGCTATGCTGACTAGTACAAGTAGTATTATAAGCTTGAAACACATGAATGCTTCTGCATAAAGAAATGGAGAGGGGACAGGGAAATGGAGGAGGCGGATGAAAGAGGACTAATTACTCGTTCTTCTTTCCAGAATTTTCCTGGAAATGAATTGCGTAAAGAAATTTGTGTTGTCACACCTTAAAGATAAGTTTGATTAATATGAATTATTGATGGTGATTTGACCGAAGACTTTTTATTCAACGTAATAGTTAATGTGTATCCTTTGCTGGCTTGGTGAATGTTTCTGCCACGTAGCTGTTAGAATTGCAAGTGTACAGTATCCCTAAGGAGTATACATCCATAATTATCGGATTAACCTAAATTTATTATTGTGATAATTGCAAAATAAAAATAAGGAGGGTGTAGTTAATTTGGATTTCATAGGATTTTAATGAACTATTTTAAGTGGCAGATTTTAAAGGATTTTAATGGACTTTATAATTCTGTATGGATTTTGGAAGATTTGTCTGGATTTATAATATAGATTTCTATGGATTTGTGTGAACTTTTTTCATGGATTTCTTAGGATTTTTATTTGACTTCTACAACATAAAATGAATTTTTTCTCAGTACACAATCTAAAACATATATGATATCAAAATACAAACCAATACAATATATTTTTAATTTTCTCATTTGAATTATAATTTTTTTATGAAATTTTTAACAAACCAAAACATAGATCATTGATGGTTTCAGATGACATCTAGATCAAGCCAAATTCCAACTAATTGAACCCAACCCAAGCATACAAAATTAGATCTTTGCTCCAGTAGCTAATAACTCCAAGTACAAGGCAAAAATACTATTGAATCCTAAAGCTCATCTTTTTGTTGTTGTAGCTTCCAAAACTGAAAAACTCGCAACTCAATTCACCATTTTTCACTTCAGCACCCAAGTTACTCAAAACCCCAACATCCCATACTCCAATCCCTCCAACCCCTCCATTTTCCCATAGTTTCCAACATTTTCTAGGCTACCAAACAGAGTTAAAACACACAACTAAACAAATAGAGAAAAAAAAAGGTAGAGAAGTAATATACACATAGCAGAATAGGGAATGAAGACTTTGTGGTGACATTTCGGATTTGGTGGATACATTTTTAAGAAATAAAGGAATTTTGTATGTCGTCTTCTTTTCTTGAGAGATGCTTCATCCTCTTATTTTTCTGAGAGATATTTCGTCTTCCTCTCCAGAGAGAAGAAAAGAAATCCTAGGGGTGGAGGTTGGATTGTTTAAGGTGTTTGGTATTTATACAACCCACTCTCAAATCCATCAAAATCCTAGTTCATTAAAATCCTAGAAAATCTTTGATATTTTCACTACACTTAGATTCTTATGGACTTTTTAAAATCCCACTTAGATTCTTATGGACTTTTTAAAATCCTAATCGACTTCCCATGAATTTGGATGTATTCTTTAAAATCCTTTAAAATCCTAATTTGATTATGTTTATACCATATTTAGGGCCTCGTATTTAGACATCGTATAAATACTCGGAGGACTTAAGTGTAATTATGTGATAAAGGAAGGGGCGAATATGTAATAAGTGAAAAATCCTTATTCTATAAAAGGACCTCTCACCCTCACAATTAAAAAAGGCCAATTCCTAGGCCTGACATCCCCTCTCTCACCCTCAGAAGCTCTCAGAAGCTCTCACCCTCTCCCTCTCTATTCCCTCAAATAAATATAATCAGTGTGGACGTAGCCCAAACCTTAGGGTGAACCACGATACAGCTTGTGTTATTTACATTTCATGCAGATTTACGGCCGGATTTACGTTGTTCCAAGACCTCACTGATTTTGTGCATCAACATTTGGCGCCGTCTGTCGGAATGACACTTATTCCCACTCTTTTCAGCTTTGTCAAGCTGGTTTCCACCATTCGTACACTCTCTTTTGACCAGGCATCCCTCTCCAACATGAGGAGCAAAGGAAGCCACAACACACAGAATGACACAACACACAGAATGACACCCCTCACCTAGTGCGAAGCAACGAATTTCGGTGCTTGTGCTCAAAGCCAATATTGATCAGGCGATACTCCGCAATTCTAACCATTTTCAAGAAAAAGGAAAGAAATTTAAGAATTACAAAGGCACAGGGACAAAGAGAAACCTGTCCAACGCTTAAAAGTGTGCAAGCTGGAGGAGTTGTCTGTCCACAATTTGAACCTGCACAGAGATACATCCACAAACATATACATAAATATACATACATATACATATGTGTGTGAAAAATTGGAAGAAAAATGACAGAAAAGTAGTGTCCTTGAGAATTCAATCCTACAAAATGTACCAAATAGTGCAGATTTCGGCAAGAAACCTAACTTTAGGAAATGGGCAAACCGCTGTTTGCGGTGGCCTTCGGTTTCGAGAGAGAAGAGGGGGGAGAGGAGTACCTGAAAGTTGAGAAGGCGCGGAGGTCTCCACCACTCTCACCGGCATTTCTTTGATTAATTCAATCGTAACGGAGTAAGGCGACTCAGATGCTACCTCCAATCCAATACGCCATCCAGAGTCCGCGTCTGTCTAATGAACCCGACCCGTAACCGCCTACTATTTTAGTTCCTCTCCTTTTCTTACCTCATTATTCTTCAACTTGGCGTTAACGTATTCTTGTATTTAAAAAAAAAAATGCCATGTCCAAATCAGGATTATTGGCCACTTTCAATTCGAAATGGGCAAAATTCGCCTCTAACTAGAGGACAATAGCATAGTCTACATACAGGGTTGACTACACGTAGCCTTAAGCAGACACATTCTAACAAAGCATCTTGTGGAACCTCTGTAGTCTCTCTCTCGCTCTCTCTCAATACAGTAAACTATAGTGATGTACGTGTGCTCCATTATCACTTCTGCTACAAACGTACTTTTATTTTTATTTTGTAAAGAACATACTTTGATTTTGGTTCTTGAGGTTTCCGAATTTTAGTTTTATAGACTTAGTGTATAGTTAATACACGTTTACTTACAATGAATGAATTTTCAAGAAATGAGTATCTTTCTTATTTGTGCTTACCGAGTTGGGATCAAAGGCATGCTTGCCATTGGGGTGAAATTTGGAAGCCTCAAAGTATCATTGGATGACACTCCTGCAATACCATTTAGGTTAGGGAGAGGTTTTTCAATGTGACTGTCACATGAGGTGGTACACCACGTGTCGCTATATAAATGGTGGGATATGTGTGTTAAAAAGTTAATAACTTAAAAAATAAAATTTCCCATCACTTACATAAAAACACGAGATGTACCATCCATGTTACTGTCACAACTAAAAATTTCTCCTAGGCTAAGAGAAAAAACGATGCGAGTCATCTCATATGCTAGGCTTACCAGTATGAGTACTACAAGCTAATACAAACATCCGATAAAAAGCAGAGATGGAGTTGGAATTGTTTGGGTTAATATTTGAACATTGGGCTGCAAGTATAAGAAAGCCCAGAGATGCCAATTAAGAGAAGACTTGCTCGAAACCCAACATCAAGCCTTGAGACAAATTGCCGCCTTCCCATTAATGTATAGGCCATGTGCCTATGATTTAAATGTCAAGTGATGGAGACTAACTCACAATCAGCCAAAAAACACTTTTCAGTGGCAATACAAGTAAAAAATTGATGACTCACTACCCTCCAAATGCTTTCGGGCAAGAGCAAAGTCATTACAGTCGGGCTAATTTGCCTATAAAAGGAGGAAGAGGCCTCAAAGACAAGGACACTCAACCAACCAAACAAACAAACATACAAACTTTGCTCTCAAGCCAGATTTGCATCCAAAAGCTGTAATTAGTCTAGATCTCAGTTCTTTTTAAGATATCTCTCTCACAACGCTATCTTTTGTCTTGTTTAGAAGCTATGCTATCACCCCTAGTGGCGTAGTATCGATTCCCTTGTGTAAACTAGTTTACCATCCATTCCTTTCTAGCATACAAACCCCTGTAATCATAAAGAGAAGTGACTACAAGAAGTTCAACCTTGACAGACAAGGTGAAATCTTGCTCAAAGCTCTTTGTTTATTCTCTAAACTTGTTGGTCTATTACGTAATGCATTCTTCATAATGTATTCAAGTCATTTCCGCATGTTTTCCTACTTTAAGAGTCTTATTTGAGTTTGGATCTGGTCAGTTTAATGGATATGCTTTCATTTAAAACCAATCAAGAACTAAACAAATAACTTAAGGGATCTGGACTCCCCTCATTCGAATATACAAGACTATGAACTGAAAATCCTTGATCACAAGGCAAGAAAAAGAACTTAATATGGACTTAACCCATCCACGACAATCCTTGATAACAAGAAGTCCAAGTAACTTGGGGCTCAAGTAATCGACTAAACACAAACTTGTTCTACATCTGTTATATTGATATAGCAGTGGCACGCCTAGCACTTGGTTAGTTTTAATTGCGAGCCTCAAGGCCTACACATAAGGCCTCACAAAGACACATTTCAAAACTAACTCTGTCCTCTTCTTGCAGCACATCAGAAGGCAAGAGCTCGACTATACATCCAAAGTGCCAATCCTTTAGGGAGCTATGTTGAGAGCCGAGGAGTCCTCTCCAAGAAATCTTCACCCGAACAAGAACAATATGCAGTATGCACACAGAAGTTGCTAGAGATTCCGGTTTCGTTAAGCCCTTCACCTCACCTTCTTCTTTAGTCTAGCATCGAGATATTCGAGCAATGGACTAATCATCTTTTACGTACCATACATATTGAAATTTGAAACACATCAGAACACGTTAGAACAAATAGAGATAATCACATGTTTGACAGAGAGAACCTGTTACATTGACAAGCTAATAAGCACTTGGATACAAGACAACAGATTGTTCTGATTCTCGATTGTGGATTTTATGTTGTACTTCATAAAAATATTTACTAGAGAATGCTATGTGCTAGGTGTCAGCGACCCTTTGAGAGGAGTGATGACTCTGCAGCATATGAATAGGAAAACCCACCCGCGCCCATTGCAATTTCGTCAAAACCTTCTTTGTGAGGAAACGCTAAGCCCAAGAGACATACTAAATTTTGATGACGAACACAAGTGAACAAGAACAATCACTGTATGACTATATTGCTCTGTGCAATGCACAAAATCCATATTGCTCCGTGCAGACTACAGATATAGCAAAGAACAAAAGAACAAACTTGTGTATGATAATATGATTGGCCATGAATGGATTGAAATTTACATAAATCATAAGTACTAGAAGTGCCACTCAGTTTTATACGTTATGAATACCAGATACATAGAAGATCATATTGCTTTTGGATTCATCGACCGCTGTAGAGGAATGACGAATCTGCAGCATATGATGACGGTGAAGACCCCCAGGCCATTGTATACTCGT